TACAAACCAAACTAGCTAGCCACTACTGAGTGAGGCTACATTTATGCTAAATTTGCAACCCTGTTACCCCTTCTGACGTTGTATTTTTAAAGTTTTAAACTATATTTCAAAATGTCCCAACATTTGGTAACAGGGCTGCATACCTCATATAAAATGAATAGAAAATAAAACAGCTCTTATAAGATTTAGTCTGACTTCCTTGAGATGAGGAGCACTTCATTTCACTGATTTACACTGATCACAGTTTTGATGAGAAGTGCCATCTACATCTCATAACTTGATTTTTAAGATTGTGTGTTGACGCAATCATGTCTTTGTCTTTTTTCCAGTCAACCTGTGGAAAATCTACAAAGCTGTGGAGACACTTGGAGGATATGATGCGGTAAGTATCCTCACACAACCTCGAGCAAACAAACCTCCAGACAGACCTTTCACAACCTGGTGCTGGTCTATCTTCTTGATCTCTCATTCACACCACTGATAGCATTAACTTGTCGATATATTGTGCAAGTATGCCAACTGCCCTAGGCTTCCGCACCTAACGAGGAAGTTGAGAAGCAGGTCATGTACTTGCCACTTGCTCTTGCACAGTGGAAACTATGATGGCTGTAGGCCACACCATACATACAACAGTGACCGTTATGACCACAATGAGAACGAGGGTCCATCTTCCACCTAGCTCTTTCTGGCCAAACCCGCTGCTTCAAAGCTTTGTTCTCGCACCCTTAAGTTTCCACTCACTCTAAGGTGCTAAAGTGTTTGTATTTTTAATGAGTGTGCGTGTGGTCACTAAAACCGATGTTTGACAAAACAATGTCTAATGTCTGTCGGTCTGTATATCATTTTAGTCTTGGCCAAAGAGGGTCTTGTTTCTGTGTGTGAATTGGGTCTGGAAGTGGAAAGTCTGACATTGTACTCTAAAAAGAGTCATGCAAAAGAAAATGCCATTATTGCATCAGTCAAACTTTTTTCCAGTAACACAATTAAACCGAAGGTGTTTGCTGTCACTAAACAAAGTCCAGAGGACTGACACCTGTAAATAAAAAGTACCTTGGTCATTAATTGATTTAGCAATGTGTCAGGCAGTAAGGGTGGTATTAGCATTGTAAAGCTGAAACTTTTATCAGCCTGTGAAAATAAATTTAGGGTATGTACTTAGACACATTTGAGGCAACCTCTGAAACTAACCAGTGACTAATCATGAAGTTCCACTATGACAAGGGCTGATCAGAATGATAATGCAGTGCGTGCAATACACACACTGTCAGTCCAAGAAAACAAAATGCAAGCACAGATGCTAATTTAGAATTGTACATTAAACACATTTAGCCTTAAGGCGCTATCACATTAGCGAAACATTGTCCATTGTCAATAGTGATGCATGAAGCACCGTTTACTCAGTGCTCACTTCCCAATTAAACAGCGTCGTATTGGTCAACAAGGCAAATTCATGTTCAGAATTACATATCTGAATATATGTAAGTGCAAACTCGTGAATTAGTCATTAGCATCTGGGTTTTGAATCATTGTCAGAGAAGTAGCTATATGCAGTAGGTAGTTAAATTCAGTTTTCTTTTCTTCTAAGGGTGTGTAATAATGTTGTGTTTGCTCACAGGTAACAGCGCGGAGGCTATGGAAGAATGTGTACGATGAGCTGGGTGGTAGTCCAGGCAGTACCAGTGCAGCCACCTGCACACGCAGACACTACGAAAGGTAAACTTACTTTTAACTGTTATGAACCAGGCATTTTTTTAATTCACCCATCAAAAATTGTATGTTGGATCGCTTAGCTATACTCAAACTCACATTGCCACATGCACACAACTGATCAAAGTTTCAGAGCATTTGCATTGACCACTAGGCCATGGCTTCAACAGTAAAACTCTTTCTTTGTGCAGGTTGGTGTTGCCTTTTGAGCGGCAACTGAGAGGGGAGGAGGACAAACCACTACCACCCTCCAAACCTCGAAAACAGTACAAGAGGAGCCCTGAGAACAGGGGAAGTAAGCCAGAGAGCAAAAAGAAGAGGAAGACGGAGAGAGAAGCGTGTGAGGTGAGCAGGAAGAAAATGCACTTGGATCAAAGAAACTCTTTGTCAAATGTACAGTTAGGGTTGGGACATTGCTATGTGAACTTCAGCTTTTTGATGGGACATTTTTGAGTAATGACGCAAACAGATTGTTGAATTGATTCATTGAAATGGACCATTTGAACCCTCCATCCATTCTTCAAACCAATTGTCGTATGTATGGTCAGGGGCATGCTGGAGCCAATCCCAGTGGCTCAGGCCATACGCAGGGAAACACCCTGGACGGTTGGCTGTTTGAACCCATTCATGGAAATGAATCTAGTGCTATTTATGCTACTGTCTAAATCAGGGATGTCAAACAGTTCCTGGAGGGCCACAGCAGAGTTTAAACACACCTGACCCAGCTAATCGAGGTCTTCGGGATTACTTGAAAACTAAAGATAGCTGTGTAGGAGCAGGTTGGCGTTAAACTCTGCAGGACTGTGGCTCTCCGGGAGATGAGTTTGACACCCCTGGTCTAAATGCTCCCATGTTCAAGTCTTGGGAGAAGGAGGGAGTACAGGACTATTCAAATGACATTCTTTAGGAAACTCAATAGCCAAATAAAAGGCACATTAGGACTTTAGCAATATTCACAATGTTGCTTAATTTTACATCAACAGCATAATTATCTATCACCAAACCCTACATACAAAATTACATACAACAATATAAATCTAAGTGATGCATAGAATATATCTCCAATTGTCCTATGTGTGGAAATGTATCTGTCTGCTCCTTGTGCTGAAGCGTGTCCCTTTTGTTTGCAGGAGAAAATGGGATCAGATCATCACTGTGAGAGAGGCATATGTTCCCATCACAGTCCATGGTTGGCGTCCTCCGATCGCCTAGACTCTGAGCAGTCATCCGCAGTTTCTGTCCACGGTCCCCACTCAGGCACCTGCTCCAGAGAGATCCCTCTCCTTCATACTCCCACCCCGACTGAGGTGATCTCTCCCTTGGAGAAGAAGAAGCGTCTGGCCCAGGCTAGCCTGAACATCCCTGCCTCTGGCGCCTTGGAAGACGGTGCAGAACTGGAGAGACCCTCTGTTATTCAGCTATCCCACTGTTCCCAGTCTCCTGTGTGTCCTTCTTCCACTCACACTCGCCACTCTTCCGATGGCTCACCCCTCCCCATCTCCTCTCCATCTTGGTCCTTGTCCCGTAGCCCCTCTCCTTGCTCTGTCTCCTCTGAGGACTGTATAACCGTGACGACCCAGGAGTCTCCTTCCAAAGAAACCGAAAGTAAGACACCTTCTCGTTTGTCTGCTCTCCCCACGTCCAAGACTGCTAGCACAGGAGTTTGCAAGCCTCTTGGATGTTACCCCAACAGCAAAGAACTTGCCAACTATCACCGCAACCATTACAGGGATTACCTGCCAGGTGGCCCACCCCATTCAGAAAAAACCCAGAGGAGTCTTTTGCCATGGACCCCGGATGGTAAATCCAGCACCAGACTTACATCCTACAGGATGCCTTCACCTGCATACACCAGACCCTGCTGGGTCCCTCATGCCTCCAGCTTCTCCAAGGTCTTACCACGAGATCCTTGCAGACCTGTGTCACTACAGCCCACTTTTAAACCATACATGTCCTACCACCAGCACCTCCTAAAGAGGTCCATCACCGATGAAGCCTGCTTGAAGAAGACACCAGTGGGCTCTCCACTTCGCATTATGGACAGGAAAGAGAAAGCAAAGACAGTGTTGCCCAAGCCTCTGCCTACCCAGCAGTTATTCTTCCACCCTCATCCCGGTATAACAATGCCCTACCTGCCAACCATAGAGAGATATCGGGCAGACTTAAACGAACAGTTGAAGGCTCTACCTCTTCAACATGTATTTCTTCCAACCCATCTAACAATACCTCCTGCTCAGACCCACTCTATGCATTGCCCGCCAGTGGGCACCCCTTTTCCTGGGTCTTACGAGGCTGCTTTGCCCTCCTACCCTTACCCATTACCCATCTGGCATCCACCTGCTGGGTACAACATGGCAGGCCTGCAGCCATACTGAACGATTCTGAAACAATTGGTTGTTCAAATCTATAGGTCAACGTGAAACCAAAATTAATGAGTTAACTTTTTCAATACAGACTCCTTCACGTTACTAGAAAACTGAAGGATCAAGTCAATTTTCTTGATCAATTTTCAGGATAATTTTACATGAAGTAAAATGGGTTGCAGAGTGTTTCATGTTGATTTTAAAAGCTAATGCTAACTGAAGGAGTTACATACATGGTCCTGTAGCTCAGCTGGTAGAGCATGACACTTGCAGCTGCAAGGTTTTGGAATCAATTCCCACTGTATACACAATACTGATAAAATGTATCAGTGAATGCACTGTAAATCACTTTGGATAAAAGCGTCTGCCAAATGTGGTTAAAATGTAAATGCTACATGTTGATATGTTCATCAGTGTATCTATATCTGCAAAAGAGAATAGCCTCCTAGTTGATGTGGAATAGGTATAAATAATCTTTTTAATACCATTCTTCGTATGAATACCAATTACTTTGTGGTAAAATTCAGGGTCCAACGTGAATAATCAAGTTTCTTGTATCTTGATAAATAATTTCCAGGGTTGGTCTGGCTCAAATAGGAATATTCACATAAGGGTACATCCTAGAAATTGTTTTTTTTACATTTATATCACAGTCTCAAGGCCCTCGACAAGACCAATGTGTTTGACAACACACCAATAATGTGAAACATGTCTGTAATGTATAGTTGTACATTGCATACTGAATGTAAAGAAATATTTTTGTATAAAATAAATGTCAAGATCATGTCAGGTCTTCAAGACACTTCCTGTGAATCAACTGCAAAGATTCTAGCAATGAGATGCACACAAGACACATCAACACTACGTTTATTTTAAAGAATAGTTCAACAAGGAGAGCATTCAATCTCAAGACTTTCAAAGTAAATTTTGAGTCCCACATAATCAGGAATGTACAGTCTTTGTCTAAACATTGAAAAATCAAAGACAATGCCTGTAGACATCTCTTTTGCAAGAATGTGCTAAAGTAACAGCTCATTTACGTAACAGGGCAAGGAATGCACTGCATTTGTAAGGAAAATCTGGAATGTTTAAGCAGCTGATACTGCACAGCAAACAACAGTACATGTAAACTATTCCTCCAAAAATAATGAAACCAACATTCACAATTAGGAAAACCCTGCCGAATCTTGCGTTTCAGATTTGAAGAAAGCCTGTTTTCTTGATGTTAAATTGCTTTATCTGCTTTTGTGAAGCATCTAATGAAAAAGAAATAACAATGCCCCTAAAAAGTGCAATTCTATTCTTCAGAACAGGGGACATCGAAGGGGACTGTGCATTAATAAGAGTATCTATGGTGTTTGAGTCAGTATGGGAGTGTCCAGGCCTCCTCTGCTGTGAAGTGTATATTTCAGTGGGGTAACTCGTGTGGAACAAGTTTGTAGTAAGCACCACAGGATGGGCAGCGCTGGGCCTCTCCCTGATGCAACCAAAACCAAACCACTGCAGTGTTGTCCTCTTCACCTTCATAAAACAGACACATAGGTTAATGGGTTTGACCAAAGATCATTATATTGTTGTTATGATGGCTTATACTGATAAGAAACACATAGAACTAATATGACTATACAATTGAACTGATATCAAAATGGTGGTTAAATTATACTATCACTTACAAACACAACCAACAATCCTCTTGTTGGTTATGGAGGGGACAATATGAGGGTCTTGTTTGGAGCCTGCACACTCCCGCGGTTTTAAGATGCTATATGGATCCTAGCGAAGAAGACAGCATTGATTGTTCACACAGCAGTCTTTATTTCACAAGAAGCCACAACAGAACAATAGAACACAGTACAAGACACTTACAGTTCCTCTCTTTGACGCCTCCAACACAATCTTCTCCAGACCGGTGGCCTGCTCATCAACTGTGGGGATGCTTGAACACAAGCTCACAAATTAATCATATTACAGACCATGTTTGCAAGGTGTACTGATGTTCACAAACATTTGATTTTTTTTTTAATAATTTGGCTTGGACTACTTAAAGGTACTACTTGAAGCCTGATTCAGCCTCTTAAGGAAAAAAAATACTTGTCGATTATTATTAAATAAGTTACATACCAAGACATAATTATGAGTATGACACGTCAAAATGATCACAGAAAGTAAAAGTTATGAGAAAGCCATAGTTTAAACATAAACACCTAAAAATAATTTGGCTTGGACTACTTAAAGGTACTACTTGAAGCCTGATTCAGCCTCTTAAGGAAAAAAATACTCGTCGATTATTATTAAATAAGTTACATACCAAGACATAATTATGAGTATGACACGTCAAAATGATCACAGAAAGTAAAAGTTATGAGAAAGCCATAGTTTAAACATAAACACCTTTTTGGTCCTAATCGGAGTTATCATAATTATGCCTTCTTCAACGACAAAATAATTATACCTTTGTTATGGTTATTGATCTATATGGTACAGTTATGGTGACATAAAGCCTCATAAATATAATAAAAAAGATACACTTTTTTGGTCATAATTTGGAGTTATAACTACGACTTAAATTTAATTATGACTCAACGTTTATCTCATGAACGCAATTTTTTGGATATCATTTCAAATGAATCTTAAAATGATGATTTGCTGAATCGTTTTTGGCTCATGTGGCAGAAATTGGCATGAAACGCAAATCTATTTCCCCTGCCATTATTGTTAGTATGCAACAAACTATTTCTATTTCCTGCAAGTGCAACTGTGACTAAATAGGATGACAGCTAGATGATTAGACTTAAGTACGAATTCACGGACAACTCTTCAAGGAGGAAATAACGATGAAGTTGCAGCGACAAAAGTGATCCAATAGTTGCATTCGAGCGGGTGTAATTATCTACAGATGAGCGTATATTTGAGGCGGAGGGTGAGAGATGCTGCTGCAGACAGGCGATATCACTATCGACCCAAGCTGTGTTTTCCAGCGCAAACCGTCCAAACACGCACACAAAATAAAGCCATTGATCGACCAGTCCCCTGAGTAGAGCCGCAGCTGGCAGGGGCCCTCGGCTGTAAGCAGCAGCAGCAGCACAAGCGAGATCGAGGTCTCTGCAGAGCAAAAGTGGGCGTTTCTGAATTTGTGGGTGTTTTCAAACTGCAGGGTGTTTCTCAATCATGCAATGACTTCCTTTGCCGAACCCCACCCCTAAACCTACCGTCACTAGGACGTCAGCCAATCAGGAAACATGGTCTAAAAACGCCCCGATCTGGTGACTCCCATTACTTTCCCTTTTTTTTTTACATTTATTTATTAAACATAGAATACAAGAACTCATAGAGGTAACAGCATAGAATAAAACCAAATACAATAACAATCAGCATCAAACCTTAAGGGGATCCACAATACATGTAAGGCAAAAAAAAAAACAGTGATTCTTTATTAAAACACACCTCGTCTTTGTTGTGGTGCGCATTGCGCAGACTCGCGCAACTCTAACCGGCTTGAGGACACGCTGACGCCGCCATCACGTTGTTGCTTTTTGGCGCGAAGTTCCCCTTCAGCGCGGTCGAGCGCGGGAAAGCAAACAGCGCGGAGCGCGGGGTTAGTTGCGCGGGTCTCGTGGAGTGTGATTACCGCGTGAAGCGCGTTTGTTCGCGGCTGCAGCGAGTCAGCCACTCGCTCTCTCTCTCTCCGCGTTCGCTTCACTTTTGTCCAGCCCGGCGCCTCATAGTCAGGATGGCAGACGGAGAGGAGAGCGGAGGAGAGGAGGGCCGGGAGGACGTGCTGATGACCCCGGCGCAGCTCATCGCCAGGCTGGAGGAGGTCAGACTTTAACGGGTGTTTGCAGACAAGCTCAGATGACAGCACACTGCTGTTCACAAGTTTGGGATCAGTACGATTTGTAATGTAATTCATGCTCAAGGCTGCATTTATTTGATCAAAAATACAGTATAAACTGTAATATTGAGAAATATTATTATAATTTTAAGTAATTGTTTTCTATATTTTAAAATGTAATTTATTTTTGTGATCAGAGCTGAATTTTCAGCATCATTCCTCCAGTCTCCAGAGTCACATGATCTTCAGAAATCATTCTAATATGCTTAATTATTATCAATATTGGAAACAGTTGTGCTGCTTAATATATATATATATAATTTTATTTTATTTTTTGGAACCTGTGATTCTTTTTTTCAGGTTTCTTTGATGAATAAAGTTTATTGAAAATAATATTTTCTAACAATATAAGTCTTTATTTTCACTTTTGATCAATTTAACACGTCCTTGCTGAATAAAATCATTCATTAAAAAAAAAAAAAAAAAATACTGACCCCAAACTTTTGAATGGTAGTATATATTGTTACAAAAGGCTTCTATTTTTAATAAATACTGTTCTTTTTTACTTTTTATTCATCAAATAATCCAGAAAAAAGTATCACAGGTTCCCAAAAAGCGTCTGCCAAATGTGGTTAAAATGTAAATGCTACATGTTGATATGTTCATCAGTGTATCTATATCTGCAAAAGAGAATAGCCTCCTAGTTGATGTGGAATAGGTATAAATAATCTTTTTAATACCATTCTTCGTATGAATACCAATTACTTTGTGGTAAAATTCAGGGTCCAACGTGAATAATCAAGTTTCTTGTATCTTGATAAATAATTTCCAGGGTTGGTCTGGCTCAAATAGGAATATTCACATAAGGGTACATCCTAGAAATTGTTTTTTTTACATTTATATCACAGTCTCAAGGCCCTCGACAAGACCAATGTGTTTGACAACACACCAATAATGTGAAACATGTCTGTAATGTATAGTTGTACATTGCATACTGAATGTAAAGAAATATTTTTGTATAAAATAAATGTCAAGATCATGTCAGGTCTTCAAGACACTTCCTGTGAATCAACTGCAAAGATTCTAGCAATGAGATGACACATCATACGTGTTGAAACCACACATTTATTTTACAGGAAAGTTCAACAAGGTAGAGCATTCAATCACAATACTTCCAAAGTAAATGGAGCAAATTCTGAATCCCACAGAATTGGGAATGTACTATCTTTGTCTAAACACTGAAAAATCAAAGACAAAGTCTGTAGACATTATCTCTTTTGCAAGAATGTGCAAACTTCTGTAATGCTTGTAAATTTTAAGTAATAGCTCATTTATGTAACAGGGTAAGGAATGCATTGTATGTCTAAGGAAAGTTTGGAATGTGTAAGCAGCTGATATTGCACAGCAAAGAACAGGGCATGTAAACTATTCCTCAAAAAAATAAATAACAATAATAAACCAACATTAACAATTAGGAAAGCCCTGCCAAATCTTGCATTTCAGATTTGCAGATCTACTTATGTGAAGCAACCAATGAGAAAAAACTAACTAGGCGCCTATAAAGTACAATTCTATTCTTCAGAACAGAGATTAGCAGAGGAGATTGTGCATAAGTCTCACTATCTATGGTGACCGAGTCAGTATGAGAGTGTTTAGGCCGCCTGTGCGGTGTATATTTCAGTGGGGTAACTCGTGTGGAACAAGTTTGTAGTAAGCACCACAGGATGGGCAGCGCTGGGCCTCTCCCTGATGCAACCAAAACCAAACCACTGCAGTGTTGTCCTCTTCACCTTCATAAAACAGACACATAGGTTAATGGGTTTGACCAAAGATCATTATATTGTTGTTATGATGGCTTATACTGATAAGAAACACATAGAACTAATATGACTATACAATTGAACTGATATCAAAATGGTGGTTAAATTATACTATCACTTACAAACACAACCAACAATCCTCTTGTTGGTTATGGAGGGGACAATATGAGGGTCTTGTTTGGAGCCTGCACACTCCCGCGGTTTTAAGATGCTATATGGATCCTAGCGAAGAAGACAGCATTGATTGTTCACACAGCAGTCTTTATTTCACAAGAAGCCACAACAGAACAATAGAACACAGTACAAGACACTTACAGTTCCTCTCTTTGACGCCTCCAACACAATCTTCTCCAGACCGGTGGCCTGCTCATCAACTGTGGGGATGCTTGAACACAAGCTCACAAATTAATCATATTACAGACCATGTTTGCAAGGTGTACTGATGTTCACAAACATTTGATTTTTTTTTTAATAATTTGGCTTGGACTACTTAAAGGTACTACTTGAAGCCTGATTCAGCCTCTTAAGGAAAAAAATACTCGTCGATTATTATTAAATAAGTTACATACCAAGACATAATTATGAGTATGACACGTCAAAATGATCACAGAAAGTAAAAGTTATGAGAAAGCCATAGTTTAAACATAAACACCTTTTTGGTCCTAATCGGAGTTATCATAATTATGCCTTCTTCAACGACAAAATAATTATACCTTTGTTATGGTTATTGATCTATATGGTACAGTTATGGTGACATAAAGCCTCATAAATATAATAAAAAAGATACACTTTTTTGGTCATAATTTGGAGTTATAACTACGACTTAAATTTAATTATGACTCAACGTTTATCTCATGAACGCAATTTTTTGGATATCATTTCAAATGAATCTTAAAATGATGATTTGCTGAATCGTTTTTGGCTCATGTGGCAGAAATTGGCATGAAACGCAAATCTATTTCCCCTGCCATTATTGTTAGTATGCAACAAACTATTTCTATTTCCTGCAAGTGCAACTGTGACTAAATAGGATGACAGCTAGATGATTAGACTTAAGTACGAATTCACGGACAACTCTTCAAGGAGGAAATAACGATGAAGTTGCAGCGACAAAAGTGATCCAATAGTTGCATTCGAGCGGGTGTAATTATCTACAGATGAGCGTATATTTGAGGCGGAGGGTGAGAGATGCTGCTGCAGACAGGCGATATCACTATCGACCCAAGCTGTGTTTTCCAGCGCAAACCGTCCAAACACGCACACAAAATAAAGCCATTGATCGACCAGTCCCCTGAGTAGAGCCGCAGCTGGCAGGGGCCCTCGGCTGTAAGCAGCAGCAGCAGCACAAGCGAGATCGAGGTCTCTGCAGAGCAAAAGTGGGCGTTTCTGAATTTGTGGGTGTTTTCAAACTGCAGGGTGTTTCTCAATCATGCAATGACTTCCTTTGCCGAACCCCACCCCTAAACCTACCGTCACTAGGACGTCAGCCAATCAGGAAACATGGTCTAAAAACGCCCCGATCTGGTGACTCCCATTACTTTCCCTTTTTTTTTTACATTTATTTATTAAACATAGAATACAAGAACTCATAGAGGTAACAGCATAGAATAAAACCAAATACAATAACAATCAGCATCAAACCTTAAGGGGATCCACAATACATGTAAGGCAAAAAAAAAAACAGTGATTCTTTATTAAAACACACCTCGTCTTTGTTGTGGTGCGCATTGCGCAGACTCGCGCAACTCTAACCGGCTTGAGGACACGCTGACGCCGCCATCACGTTGTTGCTTTTTGGCGCGAAGTTCCCCTTCAGCGCGGTCGAGCGCGGGAAAGCAAACAGCGCGGAGCGCGGGGTTAGTTGCGCGGGTCTCGTGGAGTGTGATTACCGCGTGAAGCGCGTTTGTTCGCGGCTGCAGCGAGTCAGCCACTCGCTCTCTCTCTCTCCGCGTTCGCTTCACTTTTGTCCAGCCCGGCGCCTCATAGTCAGGATGGCAGACGGAGAGGAGAGCGGAGGAGAGGAGGGCCGGGAGGACGTGCTGATGACCCCGGCGCAGCTCATCGCCAGGCTGGAGGAGGTCAGACTTTAACGGGTGTTTGCAGACAAGCTCAGATGACAGCACACTGCTGTTCACAAGTTTGGGATCAGTACGATTTGTAATGTAATTCATGCTCAAGGCTGCATTTATTTGATCAAAAATACAGTATAAACTGTAATATTGAGAAATATTATTATAATTTTAAGTAATTGTTTTCTATATTTTAAAATGTAATTTATTTTTGTGATCAGAGCTGAATTTTCAGCATCATTCCTCCAGTCTCCAGAGTCACATGATCTTCAGAAATCATTCTAATATGCTTAATTATTATCAATATTGGAAACAGTTGTGCTGCTTACTGATATGCTTAATTATTATCAATATTGGAAACAGTTGTGCTGCTTAATATATATATATATATAATTTTATTTTATTTTTTGGAACCTGTGATTCTTTTTTTCAGGTTTCTTTGATGAATAAAGTTTATTGAAAATAATATTTTCTAACAATATAAGTCTTTATTTTCACTTTTGATCAATTTAACACGTCCTTGCTGAATAAAATCATTCATTTCTTTAAAAAAATAAAAATACTGACCCCAAACTTTTGAATGGTAGTATATATTGTTACAAAAGGCTTCTATTTTTAATAAATACTGTTCTTTTTTACTTTTTATTCATCAAATAATCCAGAAAAAAGTATCACAGGTTCCCAAAAAAATTATATATATATATATATATGTATATGTATGTGTGTATAAGCAGCAAAACTGTAATAAATCAGCATATTATACTGATTTCTGAAGATCATGTGACACTGAAGGCTGGAGTAATAATGCTGAAAATTCAGCTTTGATCACAGGAATTACATTTTACAATATATTCCACTAGAAATGAGAAATTGTAAAACTATTTCACAATATTACTGTTTACTGTGTTTGAGCACACAAATGCGAGCCTTGGAGAGCAGAAGAGACTTCGTTAAAAATGCATTTAAAAATCATAAGGTTTCCAAACTTTTGCAAGTTCTGTACCAAAACAGTATCTTATATAACACTGCTTACTGTTCATTCTCAGTCGATTATACGAGGTGCGTCCTGTGATTTAATTTGAAACCGTATTGAATGAGTTCACTTGTATGCTGGACACTTGTTAGATGAAGAATGTAATGGAAGAAATGCATACGTAGGCTCATTTCTGTAAAAGAAAAAGTATGTGAAGTACATGTTTTTAATGAGAAACCGAAACTCGGTCAAATGTATGTTTTTAAGCTCAAACTTTTGCTAAAAAAATGATTAGTATATAAAACGTGAAAATAAATGTGTGCATTAGATGCAGTCTGTAATATGAGTCTTACTGCACATGCTTTCAGGAACCGTGTTTTTGAACGTGTCTCTTGTGTTTCAGGCTTGGCTCAATGAGAAGTTTTCTCCAGAACTGTTGGAGAACAAGTCAGAGTTGGTGGAGTGTGTGATGGAGCAGCTCACGCACATGGTATGCTTATTTATGAATTTATTTCTTTTTAAAAATCCTGACGTGCACCTCCAGCATTTTTATTTAAAGAACGGATCAGAAAAACGTGTGCAAATCGTAAACGTATGTAATTCAAAAATTCAGCTGTGTGGGGTCAGTATTAGGTTCTCAAGTTAAAATAAGAAACATGAAAGCATTTAGCAGCATGTGTAAAAAATGATTATGCAATGATTAAAAAATTTATAATTTTGAAAATGTTTCAAATGGTTAAATGTTATTTCAAATACTTCTGGATGACATATAGCATTCAATTTTGTATCAATGAGTCATTTCTGTTTGTGTACGCAGGAGGAAAATCTGCAGCGGGTGAGGAAAGGTGATGTGAAGGCCAGTGTGCATCGCATGGAGATCGATCGCATCCGCTTTGTTCTGAGCAGCTACCTGCGCTCAAGACTCCAGAAGGTATCCTGAACATGACTCCACAGTTATTCAGAGGGATTTAACCTACACATATTACACAGACAGTTCCCTCTGGAGTAACCTGAAGGATATGTGTCTTTCTCACAGACACAGTTTAGACCAGTCTGAAAATATCTAGTTGTCCTTATAGATGGTTTCAAGATGTTTTTTTGCTCTAGAAATGATCTTCAGCATCCTGTGTGCTTTGAGTTGAAGCAAATATAAATTGCACTGTAGGTACTTGTTTATGCATACAGTTTTGTGAAAAAGTGTTGACCCCCTTCCTGATTTCTTATTTTTTTGCATGTTTGTCACACTTAAATGTTTCAGATCATCAAACTAATTTAAATGAGTAAAAGATAACACAAGTAAACACAACATGCAGTTTTTAAATGAAGGTTTTTATTATTAAGGGAAAACAAAATCCAAAACTACATGGCCCTGTGTGAAGAAGTGTTTGCCCCCCTGTTAAAACTGTGGTTTATCACACCTGAGTTCAATTTCTCTAGCCACACCCAGGCCTGATTACTGCCACACCTGTTCGCAATCAAGAAATCTCTTAAATAGGACCTGCCTGACAAAGTGAAGTAGACCAAAAGATCCTCAAAAGCTAGACATCATGCCGAGATCCAAAGAAATTCAGAAACAAATGAGAAAAAGTAATTGAGATCTATCAGTCTGGAAAAGGTTATAAAGCCATTTCTAAAGCTGTGGGACTCCAGCGAACCACAGTGAGAGCCATTATTCACAAATGGCAAAAACATGGAACAGTGGACAACCTTCCCAGGAGTGGCTGGCCGACCAAAATTACCCCAAGAGCACAGCGACGACTCATCCAAGAGCTCACAAAAGACCCCACAACAACATCCAAAGAACTGCAGGCCTCACTTGCCTCAGTTAAGGTCAGTGTTCATGACTCCACCATAAGAAAGAGACTGGGCAAAAATGGTCTGCATGGCAGAGTTCCAAGACGAAAACCGCTGCGGAGCAAAAAGAACATAAAGGCTCGTCTCAGTTTTGCCAGAAAACATCTTGATGATCCCCAAGACTTTTGGGAAAATACTCTGTGGACTGACGAGACAAAAGTTAAACTTTTTGGAAGGTGTGTGTCCCATTACGTAAAAGTAACACTGCATTTCAGAAAAAGAACATCATACCAACAGTAAAACATGGTGGTGGTAGTGTGATGGTCTGGAGCTGTTTTGCTGCTTCAGGACCTGGAAGACTTGCTGTGATAAATGGAACCATGAATTCTGCTGTTTAAGGTTTTTCCCTCATGTTTTGGAGAAAGAAAAGTCACGTGCTGATGGAGATCCTTCATTTCTCTCTCCTGAAGAGTTTGCCTTCGCTAAAGAGTGAGTTCATTCTGAATCCTTTCTATTGTCTGTATCAGCCGATAGGCAGACGGTGTGGTAAAGTGCAAACAGAGCCAGAACATTCTTTTCATTTCTGTGAGAATGACTGTTTTGGGCTGAATGTCGAGTGGTATTTGGCATTGTCTGTTAGTCCTATAATTCACAAAGTGATGTATGTGGTCTCTAAATGTTATATGTTGTGTGTTTAGGTATCTGGCCAACACAGAGATGTATCTCCGAAATGTGGCTCTGAAACACATGCCCCCAAACCTGCAGAGCATTGACATGCTGAAGGCCGGTGAGAAACGTTTAGTTTTAAATGGATATTTTAAGAATCATAGACAGTTCACCAACACTACTTATTTCTTTCTTTTTTTTTAATAACATTTATTAGTGTATTTTTCAGTTATATTTTGAGATTTACTAGCCAGAAATACTAGAAGTCACACACATACACACACACGCATACATATATATATATAATTTTAATAATACCATAATCTATTAATTTGGATATAGGGAATTTACAGTAAATTTACATTTTACAGTGAACACTCAGAAATAACAAAAGCTCTCTTTGGGGCGGTAACTTTAAGGTACTGTGGACCCTGTAGTGGTAAATAAGGTACAAATGTGTGCTGCATTTATATAAAAATATAGATCAGAAAAGCATATAGACTACTGTTCAAAAGTTTGTGGTCAGTAAGTTTGATATTTTTGTTTTGTTTTTGAAAGAAATGAATACTTTCATTGAACAAGGATGCATTAAATTAGTTCAAAGTGACTATAAGGACTAAATTGGTAAATTGCTACCAACTATTTCTGTTTCAAACAAATGCTGTTCTTTTCAACTGTCTATTCATCACTGTAAAAAATTATTGTGATTTTAACAATATAATACTGTAAAAATGCTACAGTAAAAACCTGTTAATTGGTCATCAGTAACTTTCCATACTATATACGGTGAATAACTAATTACATTTAATGTAATTTTACAGTAAAATACTGTTAAAATTACGGTTTTTCGACGTGAAAAAGAAAGTTATTGTATAATTTACAGTGAAAAACCATAAATTGACACTCCCAGAATTCCCTGCATGACACCTCATATTTTTATTTATACTATGAAATAACTGTTTCTTCTTAGTTTTTTCTTATCAGTTGTGTACATTAGGGCTTTATCTTGCATCTAATGTTGTTAAATTCATGTTTATTGCATTATTTCAGTATCGTATGTGTCACTATGTTGGTGTTTAGTGTTTGTGTGAATGACACTGTGCACCTTCTATATATATATGCTTGTGGAAGAGCTGATTGTGATGAGCTTTGGTTCATCGTGTGACTTTCTCATCACCACCAGTTTTTGGTGGTTATCAGGGCATTACAATGGTTCAAAACAGATATTAGTACTTCAATATGCTGGTTTATTAACATTACATCAGTTAATGAAATACGTTTTTTTTTTATTGTGAATTTAAGTTGTCTGTAAAACCTAAAATGTTGCTACCATATTTTTAACGGTGAAATTCTGGCAACCACAGCTGCCGGTATTTTACCGTAAATGTCACAGATTTTTTTTTTTACAGTGATCATAGAATCCTGAAAGAAATGTATCAGTTTCCACAAAAATATTAAGCAGCACAAGTGTTTTTAGCATGGATATTAATTTAAAGAATGTTTCTTGAGCAGCAAATCAGTATATTAGAATGATTTCTGAAGGATCATGTGACACTGAAGACTGCAGTAATGATGCTGAAAATACAGCTTTGCATCACAGGAATAAATTACATTTGACAATATATTACAATAGGAAAACAATTTAAATTGTAATACTATTTCACAATAGTATTGTTTTTACTGGATTTTAAAAAATAAATACAGCCTTGGTGAGCATAAGAGAGTTTAAAAAATGTTAAAGCATCTTGCCAACCCCAAACTTTTGAATAGTAGTGCACATTTAAGTAGTGCACAAGACCTAAATGGAATGCTGTAATCACCGATTTCACTATTAGTTAATAGCAGGAGCTGTATTTGTAATCTTGGTTATTTATTTTATTTTTTGATCAGTGTTGCAGCCCCGAATATCCAGATGTTTTGAACCAGATGGTAGTTTTATCTGGTGGCAGTGATTGATTAATTGGTGGATGTGTGTGTTTGTGTGAAGTTCCTGAGCCGTGTCTGGACTCGTTTGTGTTCCTGAGAGTCAAAGAGAGGCAGGAGAATATCCTGGTGGAGCCTGAGACGGATGAGCAGCGGTAAGAACACCATCATTTTCATTCAGCAGTCACACAAAGTTTGAGAATCAATCCAATGAAAATCCCATACTGGCTGATCACTAATCTGGTTACCGCCTAGTTCGGATGTGGTGTCAGAGGGCAGTGGGCAGGAGAGAGCAAAGAGGCTCTGAGCTCGCTGCCTCATAACCAAACACCAAAATGAATTAAAATTAATAAAATGCCATTGATTTTCTTATCAAAATTCACAGTGTCCTATAGGGGACAGCATTTCTTTTCATTTTAATGAGCTGGCTGAGATGATAAAGCAATATGAGTTCATAAACTGTATTTATTTGGACATCTTTGCTGTCGTCTCTCTCAGGGAGTACGTTGTGGACTTGGACGAAGGTTCACAGCACCTGATGCGTTACCGTACTATAGCGCCTCTAGTTGCCAGTGGTGCAGTGCAACTTATTTAAACCTGCAGAGCCTCAGGAACAGAATGAAGACACCCTTACATGCTAGATGGCCAACTGTGAACATCAGTATCCCAGCACCTTTACAGATCCTGCTTGGACCCTGAGCATGTCTGCATCTTTGAATCTAGAAGCATTTATATTTTAAAATGGCTCATTCTCATCATGAAACTGACATAAAAGCAGTATGGATTGTTAATGTTGACTAATCTATAAGAACAAACGATCTTCAGTGTATTCTGATTATCTGGATTGTCTTGGGTTATTGCAATCTCCCTGCAATATTTCATCACAAATTGACAGCTGCGTTATTGCAGTCTGATCAGAAACTAGTGAACCTGACACTCTTGCTCTGAAACGGAAGCTGTGGTTTTCTCTGTAAATGGGAAGTTGTTGGTTTGGATGTATGCGGTCGTTTAAATGGTCATTGGGGTTTTGCTGGTGTGTTAGAATAAAATGGTATTATTTATGTTTCTATATTGATCCACCATGTTTTTTGTGTTGTTTGCTGCATGCTGTTTTGTAGTATATTATAGCTAGCTGTTAAAATGATCTGACTTACATGTTAAACTCTTTAAGTTTGTCATTGTCAACAGGATTTATGGCATAATTTCCGAAAAACACATTTATAGTGACATACTTGAATGTAAATAGGGTCAGATATCTTGTATTTTATTCTAGGAGTTTTTCAGGGGGGAAAAAAACAGTTTTTGTGTTTTTATATAAAGCAAGCAGCCGTGGTTTACAGTGAATTTATAACAGCTAAGGGGTGTTGTTGCGTCGTGCCTAAAACCCCCTTAGCTGTTATAAATTCACTGTAAACCACGGCTTCACTTTTTATAAAACGGTTATTCCATATACGTAGTAAGGTTTCACAGAATAAAACAGCAAATAAAGTGTAATGATATTAATAAAAACTGTATTCTTTCACCAAACAATGTAGTTCCTCAGAATCAGTTGTGGTTCCAACAAAGTGGTTGCGAGCAACACACAGAAGTATACAAAGGTGTGTGTTTGTAGAGTAATTTACAACAGCTTTGAACGCTGCTCAACCAATCAGAATCTAGGACCGGAACTATCCGTTTTATAATCAAAATTCTATCATTCTATTCTAAGTGCCTTTTATAAGTGTTTTAAAATGCAATTTAAAAGTTCAATTTCATGATGACTAAAGCAGTATTTGTAATATTGTCTAATTGAAAAAAAATATTTTATTAATAAAACCTAGCCTACTATATCATGTTTGATACATCAATTTCTGTGGTGTCTAAATTACCAACATATCAAAACTGCAGAAAAACCTGCTGTACACAATCTATTACATGCCTTATGCTGTATGAATAATAGTTCATACTTTAAAGGCCTGTTAGTATAATTGTAAAACATCCCCCTTTAGGTTGTGATTCACGTCTTTTACAAAATATACATAACTTTTATATTATTATTATTATTAGTAGTAAGGTGAACACTTACTGAACTGAAGCAACTTTGATTTACTTGATTATAAATCCTTTTGTTTTGTTTTTTTGAAAAATAATATTAAAATGTATCTATCAAATATGATGCCGTCAGGCTTTTGAGGAAAATGTATTAGTTCTCTCTATCTTGTATCTCTCAATCATCATTGTATTGTATTGCATTATGTTTTGATTCCACAACTAAAACTACAGAAATGTTCAAATAAAACTAAGCATTTAATTAATTGTACTAGGGCTGTGCAATTAATCGCATACGATTGTCATGCGTATCTCGTCAGTAAAGCCGGTTCCGTGATTAGTAGTAAATCTCCATCACCTACTATCAGATGGAGCGGCATTCACTACACAGAGCCGTAATTCACTGACAAACTAGGCAATATCGCATTCATAATCGCAGATGAATCGCATTCGATTATAAACATGATATCGCCTAGCTTGTCAGTGAATTGCGGCTCTGTGTAGTGAATGCCGCTCCATCTGAAAGCAGGTGATGGAGATTTACTACTAATCACGGAACCGGCTTTACTGACGAGATGCGCATGACAATTGCATGCGATTAATTGCACAGCCCTAAATTGTACTAAGACATATTATTGAGTCATATAGAGTGACAACTGATATTTATATGCTTTTTTTTTGTAAGTATCCTGTAAGATACTCTTACAAAAGCTATCAGAATATTTTACTTTTTGGTCATATAAATAATATCTACACCAAATTGCATATTTTTGCTCAGTTTGGGCCCCCCTATAAGTATGAATTTCCTAATGAGTTCCATATTCTCGTATATCATACTATATGGGCCATAAAAGCCTGATTTATCAAATATAATACGAAACATAAAACATGTATGCAACTTTAACCTTTTTTAGATTTTTATATACTTTGTCAAAAGTTTCAATAAACCGTTCCATTTTGAAAAAAATACAGATTTTTTTTAGCCATTTCTTCATATATCAGGTGTTACAGGGTTAAAATGCCCCCATTTTAGTGGGTCCAATATTACGAGTTGAAATGATTTGTTCAGTATTATTATTTAAAACAACAAGTGGCAATTCTCATGAAACCACACTTTGCTCTAATGTTTGAGATAAATAAAAGCCACTATGCCCGTCACCTTGTGACCTGACTCTGCAGATAACATTGCCTGATCTCACTCTTTCACCTCTCTTATAACACCCTGAGAAATACACCTATTGCTCCATATCCTGTGCTGACACCTTTTCACCACTCCTCCAGTGTTGTGTATGTGATCATTCTTCAGCGTTTACGTGAATTATACACCTGTGGTTATGCGGTGGCTTCACTTGCTGAAACCTCTGCCAATAGGCTTGAACCAGCAATAGAAGTATTTTTTTTATTGTAGTTCCAGTGTTGTGAAATGTGTGATTCACTTGAAACCTGATACACAGATGGGAATCTCATCTAGAATCATGATTCACATCAAGATTAACCTCTGAATCCATGGAAATGTGGCCAGCTAACTACTGAAACGTGTAAACTGACAGTTTATGAAGAATCATGCGGTCAACGCCTGTAATAACTGGTTGTTACTGGTAAAGAGTAACACAGTGAGTAAAACTGCAGACACATTAGCGATGTTTCAGTGCAATTTCGCAGAGAAAAAACGGTCTATTGTCAATAGAGTAGAAATGTATGAAGCACAGCTCACACAAAAGTCACAAACAAGCCGATTTCTGTTGGTCAGCATGACGAATTCAAGCGGCCAACTTGAACATGAGTGAATGTTTTCTTCCTGATTTGAAACTCCCAAAATTAAAACTGGCTGGATTTTGCTTGCGAAATTTTGTTGAGAAGCAGTAAATGTGAATGCATCTTAAAGGGATAGTTCACCTAAAAGTAAAAAATTGCTGTTAATTTACTCATCCTCAGGCCATCCAAGATTCAGATGATTTTTCTTCAGCACACTGTAAAAAATTATTGTGATTTTAACAGTAAATGACTGTAAAATGCTACAGTAAAAACCATACTAAGTTTCCATACTATATTCGGTGAATAACTGTAATTACATTTAATGTGATTTCACAGTAAAATACCGTTTTTTGGAAGTGAAAAAGAAAAAGTAATTGCATAATTTACAGTGAAAAACCGTAAATTGACACTCCCAGAATTCCCTGGAAGACCCTTCAAATGTGATGTTTTTTTGTTGAAATAACATGTTTCTTCTTAGTTTTTCTTATCAGTTGTGTACACTAAGATTTAATCTTACATCTAATGTTGTTAAATTCATGTTTATTGCATTATTTCAGTATCATACGTGTCACCATGATGGGGTTTAGTGTTTGTGTGAATGACACTGTGCACCTTCTATATATAATTATTGCCCTCCTCAGCTCGTAGAAAAGCTTTTATTTGATGAGCTTTGGTTCATCGTGACTTTCTCATCACCACCAGTTTTTGGTGGTTATCAGGGCATTACAATGTTTCAAAACAGATATTAGTACTTCAATATGCTGGTTTATTAACATTACATCAGTTAATGAAATACGGTATTTTATTGTGAATTTAAGTTAAGTCTGTAAAACCTAAAATGTTGCTACCATGCTTTTTATGGTGAAGTTCTGGCAACCACAGCTGCTGGTATTTTACCGTAAATGTCACAGTTTTTTTACAGTGCAGAACAGCAAAGAAGTTTTTAGCTGAAACTGTGGACCTTACTGATTCATAAAATGCAAAAAAAGAGAGTCAAAAAAAACTAACCAGGCAACACAAAATTAATCCTAATTGCTCCTGGCGATATATTGAGGTCTTATGAAGCGAAGCGATCAGTCTGTGCAAGAACTGAACATTACATTTACAACATGCTACCTGTAATCCAGAGCCTCAGGCAAACGAGAAAAGCTGATTCTTTACTGCAATCTGGTTCTTTCAGACAGCTCGTGTCAATGAACCGGTTGAAATTTACCAGTGTGTTTATGTAATCACACAATGATACATATACGAAATTATATTATTATAACACATGATAATGATGTGAAATGCAGATGAGTTACATGTCTAAAGCATATTATGTGAATAAACTCTTTCTACATAAACAATGAGGAACCATAAAAAGTTGAATTCTGCTTCTTCGCTCAAGTGCTCGGTTCACGTATGTGCATATCACCGGCTCATCGGTCTTTGGTCCGGGTCTGAACTGTTTCCTCAGTTCAGTGACTGTTGGAGGAATGATTCGCTCGTGAGACATCACTGCTTGCCTGAGGTTATGGATTAATAAGGTTGTAAATAATGTTCAGTTTCTTGCACAGACTGATCGGTTTGCTTAATAAGACCTCCATACAGTGGGGCAAAAAAGTATTTAGTCAGCCACCAATTGTGCAAGTTCTCCCACTTAAAAAGATGAGAGAGGCCTGTAATTTTCATCATAGGTATACCTCAACTATGAGAGACAAAATGAGAAAAAAAATCCAGAAAATCACATTGTAGGATTTTTAAAGAATTAATTGGTAAAGTCCTCGGTAAAATAAGTATTTGGTCACCTACAAACAAGCAAGATTTCTGGCCCTCACAGACCTGTAACTTCTTCTTTAAGAGACTCCTCTGTCCTCCACTCGTTACCTGTATTAATGGCATCTGTTTGAACTCATTATCAGTATAAAAGACACCTGTCCACACAGGAGCCATAGACATTAATTTTGTGTTGCAAGATACGCTTTTTAAACTTTTTTTTTTTGTTGTTGGTAGCCACTGACTTGCATTTCATGAATCACCAAGGACCATAGTTTCAGCTAAAATATTTAAAAATAAATTCTGTTCTACAGAAGAAAAAAGTCACCTACATCTTGGATGGCCTGAGGTGGAGTAAAATAAGAGCAAATTCCTATTTTTGGGTGAACTATCCCTATAAGTCACAATATAGACACAATTTGTTTTGTCGTGCAGGAGGAAACAAATATCTTTATCACTGCATAAATATAAATATATTATACTACATTTTTCACCCAAAAATGGTCGTCATCATTTACTCACCCTCATGTCTTTCCAAACCTGTAAGATTTACTTCTGTGGAACACAAAGATATTTTGAAGAATGTTTCAACGGTTTTTGTCCATACAATTTAATTAATAACAATATTTGCCAATTTATTATTAAATGTCCTTTGAGGGCATCAAGCTTTCACGCATTTAAATTCTGTCATCGTTTACAGTCATTCCAAATCTGTATAAAAACTTGAAAATATAATGAAAGTCAATGGGGTCCAGAACAAGATAACACTGGACCCCACTGACTTTCATTTTATTGAAGAAAAAAAAAACACACCTTTCATAGAGGTTTGGAACAACAGCTAAATGATGACAAAATGTACATTTTTGGGTGAACTATCCCTTCAAAGGACATTTAATAATAAATTGATAAGAATTGCTGTTATATTTTTATCAGCTACTTTTTATCAGACAATCACACCCAGAGTTCACTGACGTCAATTAACATAATTCTTGGTAATGTGGGTTTTTTGTAAACTCAACGCTAGCTTATTGGCCTCTGTCACAGCTTCCGATTTCACAGTGACTTCCTTTAACTTTAGAGTGACAGGAAGCCCACACCGTCCATCATCAGTTCTGGCAGAAATTATACAGAACTGTTCATCTGTTTTCGTAAACTATAGGTCAGAATCCAGCTATTGGCTAATGCATTGTGCAAATACTGGAATGAATAGTGAAGTCTTTTGTTATGAGGCACAGGGAGTGCACACATCGCCCAATAATCAGGAAACAAACGAGACATCTGTAAACTTGCATTACAGACATATAAAACATTGCTTTGCTCTTCCAAAATTATCATGGAAAGTTTGCTAGCTAACGAAATGCAGTTATAAAATGAGATTCTGTGCTTCAGTTTCAAGTTCAAAAGTGAATCACTGCAATAATGAGTATTATAATGGTGTTACTGATGATGCTAAATGATATCCATTATGAGTTAATATGAGCACATTTCAGGTCTGGTGATGATTTAGAGGTTCTTGAGTCTCGCTGATGGTTTTGTTGCAGTGCATGAGACAAAAAAGGCTTGGAAACACTGATTTCAGATATTTTGTCTTTCTCTGACACCGACAGATCTGCTTGAAGTCATCGCAGCAGGAAGCAGGCGACAGAGGCAGCGTTTCAAAGAGCTGCACAGCAGTGCATTTCTGCCAAATTCATTATTATGTATTTCCAGCCTAAAAAACAACTCAGACATGTCACATCCACAGTTGTATCTCATTTTAACTCTGTAATGTTTTAGTTTGATGCTTTCCCCAAGAATCTATATTTATGACTCTTCCGTGAGAAATATTGCAATGTTTAGGCCCAGATCTGCTTCTTTAGTATACATTCAATAAATATAAAATTGGGTTTTATGGGCATTTTTGGCCCTGTGAACAAAACTTCTTTAAAATTAAGTATTCATACTGGAGTGTAAGTGCTAGCTCATCTAGTGCGCATTTATTTGGCCATGAATGGTATATTCTGTCCTTACAAGCATGTCATTTGCACTGCTTACCATTACCAAGTTATTTTTGCTTATAACTAGAATTAGTTAAGCAAACCGTCATTGAGTCAGTTTGGCATTTCTGTTTTTGAGGCACTGATTGGCAAGAGTTCAAACCACATTCATGTGCGCTACGTGCCTAACTGCAGGTCTGATATGGCAGCTATGGTAATTTTCTCTCTTTGTAAAAGAAGCTCAAGCATGAAGAATGAAAGCCTAATGAGGTTAAAAATCATGCTCACTGGGTTGTTTTATGGGTAGATGGCCTCGAGGAGTTTTCATGCATTTCCTCATTGTCCTAAGGCACAGCTATGCGTTAATTTAACTTTTACATAAATCGCATCAAATAGAAATATCATCACTGTTTTTCCAGATTTGTTGGAAATGGTGAAAATTGCACATTTGTGACCCTGGAGCACAAAAGCAGTCTTAAGTCGCTGGGGTATATTTGTAGCAATAGCCAAAAAAGCATTGTATGGGTCAAAATTATCGATTTTTCTTTTATGCCAAAAATCATTAGGATATTAAGTAAAGATCACGTTCCATGAAAACATTTTGTATATTTACTACCGTAAATATATCAAAACTTCATTTTTGATTAGTAATATGCATTGCTAAGAATTCATTTGGACAAATTTAAAGGCGATTTTCTCAATATTTAGATTTTTTTGCACCCTCAGATTCCAGACCTTAAAATAACTGTATCTCAGCCAAATATTGTCCTATCGTAACAAACCATACATCAATGATGGGTCAAAATTATCGATTTTTCTTTTATGCCAAAAATCATTAGGATATTAAGTAAAGATCATGTTCCATGAAAACATTTTGTACATTTCCTACCGTAAATATATCAAAACTTCATTTTTGATTAGTAATATGCATTGCTAAGAACTTCATTTGGACAAATTTAAAGGCGATTTTCTCAATATTTAGATTTTTTTGCACCCTCAGATTCCAGATCTTAAAATAGTCTTTAATTGTCCTATCGTAACAAACCATACATCAATGGAAAGCTTATTTATTCAGCTTTCAGATGAGGCATAAATTTACCCTTGTGACTGGTTTTGTGCTCCAGGGTCACATTTTTATATTTCAGGAAGCTCTTTTTTTTGTAAATAAATAAATAATCAATGCATTGTTCATCTCAGTGTTCCAGGTTGCTACCATTGTTTGTTCATATTTTTTTTTCTTGCTCATTTGTCAGATATTCCCTGTAAGAGTACTTTACTTGCTAAATAAACGTCACTTTATCCCTTTAGGCTATAAATGAAATGTCAAACAGTGAAGGTTTGCTGTATAATATGCTGAAACTGCATTAAAGTCTACACAGTGTTTAAAGATGCAGTTTTTTACTTGCATTAGTTGAGAACACATGGCGTATTTATACCTTTAAAAACTCATTTGTCACTCTGAAGGACTATTTAAGTAAGTAACCTGCAGAAGAAATAAATAAATATATAAATTAATAAATAATAATAATTTAAATTAAATGAATAAATAATGTAAAAAGTAAAGAAAAAATACACAAGACCTTCGATATAGCTGTTATCCCTAAACATTGAATGATAACTTAAAATCCTAATGATTTTTTTTTTAATTCATGTTCCTGATATTTGCACTAGGCTTTAGTCTCCTACTCTTTAGCCCACAGATCAGGTCATAAATAGCTGGTTAAGTCCTATCCGGTCTTTGCAAATCTCATTGGCTTGAGTTTGGAGGAGGGATCAAGCTACTATAAAAGACCAAGTGACGCAAGATTTCACACAATGCTTCCTGAAGCTCAGCTGAGCAGGTAGACCAAGACATCTCAAACTTGTGTCCTTCAGTACAAAAAAAAATAATAATGTTTTTAAGGATTTCATAAGATAACCCAATGATCAAAATGAAAGCACAGTAAGATTTTTTTTCAAAAATGACTGATTTACTAACTTGAAATTGTTAAAACCACTTATGTCTGTTTTTACAGCATCAGTATTTAAAGTGTGTTACCACTTTGGGAGGAAAGGAAATAATAATTCTGAAAGACCATTTCACTACTATATGCTGAAGATGACTTGTGCAAAGTAAGTCTGAATTATTATTGTCTGAATAAGATAAACTACAAAAGCCATGGTTTCCACAGTCACAAAAAAAACTGAAAATACTGGTGGAATTTCAAAGGTGTGGTTTCCAGGCCTCGATAAGCCATGAAAAGTGATTCTAAAAAATGCTATTGCTAGGAATTTCTGCAATCAATATTTCTAGTAAACCCCAGATCTAAAATGTTTCTTCAACTAGAAGTCACTGTTTGTGAGTGCGTGCAAACACGGCTGAAAACACAAGTTCATTGGTCAAAAAGTGTAAAATGAGATTCTAAAGTAAAAAAAAAAAGCATGCAAGTCATCATTTTGTCCTATTTCTGCACCTCCAGTGTGATGTCGAGGTTTGGCCCGCCGGTCTCCGTGAGGTCTGTGGACGTGGCCGTGGGCTTCAGGTGCAGAGGATCACCAAACATCAACCACCTGCTCGGCGTGTCTTCACCCAAACCCCTGCGGCCCTGCATCGCCCATCAGCCGGTGCTCGAGTACCGACACTCCCCTTCGACAGGCCTCATCACAGCCAAAAGCAGCCGCAGGGAAAAACGCGTCGCGTTCGCGGACGCTAAAGGACTCTCGCTCATCACGGTGCGCCTGTTCTCCGAGAAACAGGACAAGATCCCGCTGAAAACACCACGGCTGAAGAAGCTGGGCTGCGCTAAAGAGACCGTTAATAATGCTTCGAGGTTGAGGCTTGGGTTCGAGCAGCCTTGTAGAGATTTCCAGGCGTTCAGAAGTCTGCTTCAGGATCACATGGTTGTGTTGGAGAGCTGTCGCGTCACCAGGTGCTCCATCCTCGGCACCGTGCGCGTCAAGAACGTCTGCTTTGAGAAAGCGGTACAAATCCGTATAACTTTCGACACCTGGCGCAGTCACCAGGACGTGGCGTGTACTTACCTGGATCAGAGTTACGGGGAACCTGGAACCGACGTGTTTGAGTTTAACATCCGCGTCCCTGAGCGGATAGACCCGCGGGAGCGCATCGAGTTCTGCGTCTCTTACTTTCCGGATGCGTTCAGTGCTGCTCAATGGGACAATAATAATGGCAACAACTACTGCATTCATGTGTGTGACTGAAAGTGCCGTTTTCTAATGCCAGCAGGTTTACACTGCGTCTGAACAAACCCGAAACTACAAACTTTGCACTGTCACCTGCTTGCTGACCCGTTTAGCACTGACTAAAATGCTGTCCCAAGATCACAGAGTGCTTCTCTGAGCACTCCGATGTATATTTTTAAATGTATTTGGCAAATCCTCAAATATGTATGAATCTCACATATACTGTGGAAATGTTTATTAAACCTTGCATGCTGTGGAAGATATTTTTGACATTGTATCAAGTAAATGTGATTTTTATATTTCTAAAATGGAATTTTATTTTAGGAATGTGCCATTTATTTTGTGAGATTGAGTACTTGAACATGTTTATAAAACGCTTTTCATACTGTGGTTAATTTAATAAAGGTTTTATAGAAAATTATATTTAATATTTTATTAAATAAAGATGACTGAAATTGCTTCAAACGTTTGGTTATTTTCTCTGGCCTCTACCTATTGCTGTTTTCTATCAAAGAAGGTTTCTGTGGTCAAGGACAACTTACAATTGTCAGGTTTCTATGCTTTTATATCAGTTATGCTTTGAGATATACTTTATTTTATTCGTGGTATTCAGTTGGGTGACAAACGTTACTCGCTAAAACAATTTCAAATGCGGCACAAACTAGGATCACTGAAGTTCATTCAAATCCCAGGATGTTTTTGTCTTGGACACTAAGCATAATCCATTTAAATCTATTAATTCCCAGGATTGGTACCTGACATAGAGCTTTGGACTGACGTGAGAACCCTTGATTGGAAACTGAATGTGTCATTTATGTAGTGTGAGAGGTTGTTTATCTGACAATTATGGTTTTTATTCATGTATTAGGTTTGTGACATTGCATTTTAAGTGGAAAACTAAACCCAACTGAGATCTTTCATTTGATCTCCAGGATATAGCACTGCTGTGTAAAATGCTTTGCAGAAGCCATAAAGAAATCATCCCTGCTTGCAGGGAAATTGAGAGCTAGCGTTGTAATTTATCTCATTCATGTGAGTTTTAAGGACGTGCCAGGCTGCCAGCACAGATAAATCCTGCTCTCAGCTGCAGACAGACAGACAGACAGAGAGATCAGCGCTTGTTCAGTCTGATTCTAATAATCAGCCTTGATCAGATTATGTATTACATGCAGACACTGGCCATTTTCAGTTCTCAAATATTACAATAGAGGTTTTGGAATCTGTAACAATGATTTAATGACTGCTATGCGCTCTGTGAATTAAGCAGACACGCATTGTGGTATACAGAGTAACATTACATAATTTGGAAAAGTCAATTTCAGGCACCCTTACCAAAAAGTAGTATACTTCAAGTTTATTTTAGTAAGTATACTTAAAGTTCAAGTATATTTTTAAGTATACTTTATGTAGTAAGTATACAAATATCAGTGTACTAGTAGTATACTTGTAAGTGTACTATTTTAATACTCCTTGGGACTAAATTGGCCCACATTCTAGTATATAAAAGTATACTTTAAGTATAACAGTAGTAAACTTTGAGTACACAACTAGTTTACATCAAAATGTTTAGTTTGTACTGCAACTATACTAAAAGTGAACTTATAGGTATACTGTTAGTTTACGAATTAAATACTTGTAGTAGCATTTTTAGTACACTTTGAAGTATAGTCTCAGTAAACTACTAGTTTAGTAGTTTTATACTGCAAGTATACTCGTAAGTTTTCTTTAAGTGAACTTTACATCATACTTTAAGTATACTACTATGTCCCTATTTAGGTATTAGTTTCTATATATTTTGTTATATGAATATCTGAACATATAAAAATCAAAAGAACAGGGTATCTGCTTGTAAACAAAAACATTTTATTCTAGCTTCATGCATTCTTTTTTTAAACACTTGAAAGTGGATATAAATAAAAAATAAAGAAATAAACAACATTTTGAACAAAAAGCTGAAAAAAAAGACTATGAATTGGATTCAGAATGATAATCAAAACGTAGATAAAGTCGATCAACACCCCAAAGCTTGACAGTCATTATTACCTCTTCATTGGTCGACATTTTATTCCATAATGTTACACAGTTTTGATGCTGTTTTATGTCTGATGATCGTGTTAGATTACATGTGGAAGCATCTGTTGTTTCGGTTTCTTCTTCACTTGTGTTTTTTGGAAATTCTGTACAGAAGATGTGCAGTAGCACCCCCTACAATATAACAATGAAAACACGGATTCTAGGAGCACAAGTATAGCTCAAATATATGTCAAGTCTTAAAATGTCATTTTAAGTATATTTCTGAGAAGTACATAAAGCCCATTTCTGAAAAGTACATAAAAAGTAGACTAAAAGTATACTTTCCTATTTTTAGTTTAAAAGAAGTATACGAATAGCACACTTGAATAAACGTCTTTTTCGTAAGGGCAGTTATCCATCCATTTCCTTTTTGGAACATTTGTTATATATTGTAGACTTCATTAAGGTTTTGGAGCGCAGGCATTCTCGCTTGCACTCAAATACTGAAAAGTCAAGCCCTGTCACTGTTTTGACACGGATCTCTGAAGCAAAGACAGAGATGTGAATGGTTTGGTCCATGATGTAGTTTCAATATAATCAACAGACAACCTACAAAATTAACATGCAGAAACTCACAGAAGTGTTTTATTATTTGTTAAAACATTCTGTACACTTAATTTCACCTGTTCTACAGACACAAAGACTCGTGAAATTCATATGATTACAGGTGATACCCCAAATGACTTAAAAAATATACAGAATCAATTATATAATTCAATAATGTTATCATTAAATATGATTTATACATGATTAGTCTTAAGGAAGTGGATTTACAGTATATGAAGATGAAGAGATGTAACTGAGACCGACTCACACAAGTTTTCATATGGCTTCAGAAAATATAACACTAGTTACATGGACCACTTTTATGGTGCTTTTTCCTCATGGTAATAATACAGGTTTTAAAAGACGTGACGGTGAGTAAATGATGAAACATTTTTGGGTGAACTGTTTCTTTAAGATCTGAATAGTTGCCTCACAGATCATATGGCTTGGTTTCATAACAAGTGGCTAGAGTAGTAGCCAGAGTATCATGACCTCGTTCATTTTTCATGCTTATTATTTATTCTTGCCTCTTTTGTGCAATGCCTTTGGCATATTTTAAAATTCCAAATACCGCTTTTTATAAAGTGTGAATATTTATTCCGATTCTCAGTAGAACTTTGGGTCCATTTCCAGAGCAGTGAGGTTCTCATGATCCGGCTTCCAGTTGCACTTCCAGCGACAGCTGCCATTCACAGTTCAGCGGCCCACACTGATGTTGCACACCTTACAGCTCGGGTCCTTTTTGGCATTCGCAGTGGAAAGGCTCATGAGCTGGTGATGGCCGCTGATCTGAGCGAGTATGCCGGGCTCCAGAAGCAAGGGCTCTGTGTACAACACCTCCAGAATGACGTCACTGGCATGACAGAAGGCCGGTGCGTCTCCAGACGTGAATGTCAGGAAGGGATTGCTTGACAGGTCCAGTCGTGGAAGGTGGCTCTTGCAAAAGCTATCCCCCTCCGATCCAGCAGGGGCTAGCACCAGCACTACATAATGGTATGCTGTGTACATGCAGTAGAAGTCAGCAAAGTAGAGGTTTGTACTCGGGTTGAGGAGACGTTCGGCAGAAATTTGGAAGCGCAGAGGGCCGTACGGGGAGTCTTTGGGAGGAAGGCCTGTGTCGAACTCTGTGTTGCAGCTGAGGAAGACGCCGCGGAGCTTTCCGTTGATGGGGGAGCCGTGACTTCCACTGTTGTCTTTGAAAGACGGGAGCATTGCACCTCCACACTCTGATCTATATAGAGATGTAGAATAATCAATAACCTACCATTTTAAACACCATAAATGTTGACATTAAAGGGGTCATGACCTGCCTTTTTTATTATTTTGTATGTTTTCTGAGGTCCACTAATAATGTTATCAAGATTTTTACATCAAAAAGCATAATTTAGAAGTAATATGCTATTTTCTGTCCTGTTTTGACCTCCCTCGTCGGAACGCTCTGTTTGGATTGTAGACTCGGAAGTAAACGCCCACTGCTATGATTGGCTAATAGTTGTGTGTTGTGTGTATGTTTGACAGCCTACCTCCTTAGATGGACACCGCTGTGATTTAGGTTTAAAACACATAAATACACAGTACATATCAAATGATCTATAATAACAGACAAAGCAATAGTGACCACTACTAAAAATTAATAAATACATTTAAAAAAGTGTTTCTCACACTTGTGTTGTGCGACATTAATGCTGAATCCAATATAGTAGCACAGCATCGTCTTTTAGTTTCAATCTTTCTGAAAATCCTGCATCGAAATTTGTTTATAAACGAATCCACGACAAAAAGTGAACAAAGGACCAAGTTCTTACTGACGCAGTCTGCAACTTCATTAAAAATAAAGTTCATCCACGCTTTGCTAATGTTAAGATCAGAAGAATGGTGATGAAAAGACTGTTTTTCCACAACTTGGCACTGCACAGCATCTTGTTGTCTTAAAGGGGTCATATGATGTTGCTAAAAAGAACATTATTTTGTGTATTTGGTGTAATAAAAATGTGTTTATGCGGTTTAAGGTTCAAAAATTTGTTTATAAACGAATCCACGACAAAAAGTGAACAAAGGACCAAGTTCTTATTGACGCAGTCTGCAACTTCATTAAAAATAAAGTTCATCCAAGCTTTGCTAATGTTAAGATCAGAAGAATGGTGATGAAAAGACACAGCATCTTGTTGTCTTAAAGGGGTCATATGATGTTGCTAAAAAGAACATTATTTTGTGTATTTGGTGTAATAAAAATGTGTTTATGCGGTTTAAGGTTCAAAAACCACATTATTTTCCACATACTGAACATTATTGTTTCTCCTCTATGCCCCGACTTTCTGAAACGCGTCGATTTTTACAAAGCTCATCGGTCTGAAAAGCGAGGTGTACTCTGATTGGCCAGCTATCCAGTGCGTTGTGATTGGCCGAATACCTCAAACGTGTGACGAAAATGTTACGCCTCTTTCCATATTGTGATGCCGTTAAACCCATTATAAACGAGGCATTTATTGCATCCAGTGGGGACATAATTACTGATTATAATGACTTATACTGTCTTTTTACGCGTTGCATCGTGCCGCGTAAACATAAAACCATGTCTGCATTTGTGATCGGAGAAATGACAAACAACAAGCCCTACTCTACACTGCTCAAAACTCATGTTTGAATCATCAGTGGCAAATTCCTTAAATATTAAAAACGTACTTACATTCTGTGAGTCAGAACAGCCGGCATTGTAGTCTACTCTACCAGGAAACAGTCCGCCATAAAATGCGCTGCACACATCTGAATATTTGGGTTGAACTGGTCTGGAACAGTGTTGTAAATACAACTCAACCACTGATTTCTAGTCGTGTCCTCTTTTGGAAGGCCAAACAAAGTAGTTTCGCTTTCACAACGAAACACACAGTGTCACATACGGCGGGCTAGAGTGAGCGGAGGCCAGAGGCCTAGAGTGAGGAGCGTCCGGTGGGCTTGCGGCAACCACACGTGACGACCCCGGGCTGGACTCTGCTTCGTCCACGGTGAAAGCCGATCCGGCGATCCACAGCGCAAAGTTGATGTATTTCCTCAGTGACCAGCACGGATCAGCTCTAGGCATGACGAAGCGGATATCGTCCTCTTTTGGAAGACCAAACAAAGTAGTTTCGCTTTCACAACGAAACACACAGCACCTTCACGACATGGCGGCGGCAGCAACAATACTACAGCGAGAATAAAAGTTACGCCTTCTTTCTTTGCGTGAACATTTGGGCGGCGTTATGCAAATCTTCCCACATCGTGATGTAGAACGAGCCGTTTTAGGTAGGCGTGGCTGACTCTTAACTTTTATAAAGAATATCTCTTTGGATTTGAGACTTTAGTCTTTGCAACTTTACAGATCTTCTTTATGCACCAAGAGCTTGTAACACTCCAAAGAGAAAGGAAAAATTGAAATCGCATCATATGACCCCTTTAAGAGTCATCTTCATTGTTTGGTTCCAGTGTAGACCTGTATTTGCTTCTCTCATTGTTCACACTAAATGCGTGAATCGGTGGGCGGGGCTAAACAGGCAGTGATGAAGAAGCAGGCACTGATCTTCTTCTGCGGAGGCGAGGTTTAGCCACACTATTACGTCATAAAGTGGCACAATCCACAACCTGTCATTTTGGCAGATTGGCTTCAATATAAGCTGATTTTAGACTAACAAGAAAGTTTTGAGTTCTATCTATCTATTCTGAGTATGTTATGGTACAATGACCATTTTCTCTCCTCCTTTTAGAGTGGCCTTTTATTGTGGACAGTCTAAGGCACACCTGTGCAATAATCATGCTGTCTAATCAGCATCTTGATATGTCACACCTGTGAGGTGGATGGATTATCTCGGCAAAGGAGAAGTGCTCACTAACACTGATTTAGACAGATTTGTGAACAATATTTGAGAGAAATAGGCCTTTTGTGTACATAGAAAAAGTCTTAGATCTTTGAGTTCAGCTCATGACAAATGGGGGCAAAAACAAAAGTGTTGCGTTTATAATTTTGTTCAGTGTATGTCAAAAGATAAAGGGAATTTTGATTTCTCAGTTCTTGACCCCTTTAAAGTCTGTCTGAAATTAAAATTCTATTTTCTAAATGCATCTGAACTTATTGTGAACGACTCATCTGTGCATATGTAAAAAAAAAAAAATCCCCTCATAATATTAAATCCAAATATCATAGATCTTCCTCCGTCCAATCAACAACTGATAGATAGAACAAAGTCCCACCCTACATTTCTTTTTCTCCATAATTCCTTTCACTCTGATGTACATCACAATACAGAAGAAAATGTCTGTCACTACTTCGGTTTCATCACAAGTTATAAGCGGCAATCGCAACTCATTTGACTTCTGAAATGTAATGTATTTCAGAGTCAAGTAGGATAATCAATGTGAAAAAATTAAGGGCAGGGCTTCATTTAAAGGACCGTTTACACCAAGAACAATAACTATAATTATAACTTTATTAAAAGGTACATCGGGTGCAAAATTCACTTTTATATGGTGTTTGCATATAAATGTGTCTCAGCAGTGTGTGAACACAAGCACCCTCCAATTATAAAAATCCATTCACTCTTTTTTTTAATCCCCCCAAAAACCTAATAAGTCTCAATTATCAAGCTGTTTTGATTTTCTCAGCAGTATGATGTCATATTGCTCAGGCCCCGCCCACAACCACTGATGGACTGTCCCATATTAGCATATCTACACCCTGTCCGTCATTTCTCCGCACTCGAGCAGCTGTAGCAACAACAATGTTTCGTAAGCAATGCAGGTGTTTTGTAGTTGAATGTAAAAGTGAACATAAGAGTCTTCATTTTCTCCCGACATCAGAGCCACAGTGGATTAGTTTTGTTTTTGATGGTAACTCGCCACCAACTACACAATAAACAGAAGAGAGGGACGGGGTGAGCAGAGGTCATTATAATTTAATGTTTACTCCTTTTTAATGGAGTCAACTCAGAAATATCCTTTTGTCAGTTGTCTTTGTATATTAAGCTGGCACGGGAGGAGGTATTTTAACAATAAAAACACATTTAACTCTCTGTTACTCCGTCTCTGCTTACCCCCAGTGCAGAACTCCACTACTTGGCTCCATTCAGACACCTGATAGTCTCCGTCTGGCTGTCTGATGGCGGTCTGCACAGCGACACAGTACTCCGTTCGAGGGCTCAGGAACCAGTGGCCTCTCACAGCCATCGGCAAAGGTCCTGCTTTTGCCACTAGCTTGGTGGGGACATCCTGGAAAGCCAAACACCAGAGGGCGCTGATAGTTAATTGTTGGTTTACAGGCTTGTGTTCTGCTTTCAAAAGAAGAATAACCAACCACAGATTTACAGATTAACCCCTAAATCTGTGTAAAGCGTGATCTGGTCAGCGAAGGGAGATCTAATTGAAACTGAAAAGTCTGCACTGCAGAAAGCTACAGACATCAGACGATATTTGATTGTGTGATCATAAGGCCTCAGTAGTTTGACAATGATTGGCTTGATTAACAGTCCACTGGGGTTCAACTTTAAAAGTATACATTTTTTATTGAAATTAAATCAAATATAAATATTAAGTGAAAATGTGAAATGTTGACTGAAATAAAGAAATGATTATAATAAATAAATATAAAAATATATTTATTTATATATTAGTATAATAAAAGTTGAAAAGCTAAAACTGATATAAAATAAATTGAAGCTAAATACATATATTAATAACAAAAACTATTACAAATGACAAAAGCACATGCAAATATTAAAACTGAAAATATAATTGAAATAAAACGGAAATATAAACATAAAAGCTTGTTCACATTATTTAGGGCCCAAGCACCGCGGTGCCGTTATTAATCTTATACATATTATAATAGTATATAAATAATATTAAAATAACAAGTTGAATTTTTTTGAGTTGAAAAATGTAAATACATAAATAAAAGGAAGGAAGGAAGGATGGATGGATGGAAAAAGACAGCAGCATTCAAAGAGACAAAAAAATGGCTTATTATTGTATATATGAGAGCTATTTAAAAGAAGTATCTTTACAGGCCAAAATATTATTTACGTGTTGTATATAATTTAATCAAATCAATTTAAAATTAATTTATAAAGCGTAATAAAAACAACAGTGGTTGATCACTGCAGTAGAAAATTTCAATGCATAGACCTCAATTCAAAGAACTGGGTTATTTGCTTATTATTTGTTGTATATAATTTAAGAGTAATTTGTGTATTACTTTAAAGTGGAGAAAAATGATTTCTAATCTACTGTATTTGCCTAATAATTCATTTAATATTATGCAATAAAGTTTGTGATTCACTGATACTTATGCATGCAGCCTAATCAGTGCGACAATATGATTTCTGAGCAGATAACATCCGCATCCGTATCTGTATGTAACATCCAGTGCTGTAATCTTACGCCTGTTATCTGTTTCATGACTCTTCTGACTGAAAGCTGAAAGACATTTTCAAACTTCACTAAAGCATAACGTATTTCCTCTCACATATCTATCACAGTTAATTAGTCTTGTTGTGGAGGCTCGAGTTTCTGACAAGCAGAACCAATTATGAAATGCTCAGAGGGGCGTAACCATGGCAACCCCCTCAGCAAGTCCTTTCCTTTCACCTGCAAAAGCAATATAGGAGCCGTGGCAAAATCAGATGTAATTTCAGAAGCATTTAGCAGGAGTACATGCCTGTATTATTTCTGGCAAACAATGAGTGCAGAAGAGATACTGGTAATGCTCCTACATGTAATTTTTTAAAACAAAAAATAACAAAAATAAATACATACATACATAAGTAATTAAGTAAGTAAGTGCATGACGACCAAAATTACTAGTGTAGTACATTTTTATATCTAAATTTTCATGTGTAAGTGGTGAGGACTCCAATTAAAAAATTAACAATAAATAAATAAATAGTTGAATTTTTTTATGACGAGGGCTTCTACTTAAAAATAAATAAACAAACAAACAAATAGGTGCATGATGCCCCAAATTACTAGTTAAAGGGGTGTTTAACTGTTTATTTTCTAGGCTTGATTGTGTTTATGGGGTGCAGTCTAACATGTGTTAATACTTCGTTTTTAAAAAAACGCATTATTTTCACATAATTTACCTTTATTTATATCGCTCTGTCCCTTCTCTAGGAAACGCGCTGATCATTTCCTTCTTTTATGAAGCCCCTCCCTCAGAAATAGGCGATGGGCTCTGATTGGTTAACTAGCCCAGTGTGTTGTGATTGGCTAAACCGCCTCTAGTGCACGTCTAAACACCCCGCCCCTCACCTCAGCGGCATGTGTTCCGGTTGTATTGTAAACAATGGCGTCGTTAATATCGCTTATCATTTTGAGCCCGATTGAGAAGCAGAGGATATTATTGAAGAGGATCGTGCAGAACCTGTGCAAGCACGGCTTTTAATGGTAGGCCTATGTTTTTTGTTTGTTGTTGTCTCATACTTTTAGATATGCTGTTATTTGTAAATGCTACTGCTTATG